TCATAACTGGGATGCTCCGACCTTCTCCCCTCCCTGGAGTACCCCCACCCTCACCAGCCTTCTCCCTTCCTGACCGAACTAGCTTCCATACAGACCAAGCCCAAGGGTAAGTCCTGCCCCCCCACTTTTGCTATTGCACTCAGCAGAGGGGGTACCAGGCTCCGCCCCCGAGTCCACCATTCTCATACCCCAAACACTCAATACACATTCACACTCAATTTATATACATAAAAATAAAAATATTCACGCCCTAAATACAATAATAAAATTTATACATAATAGGGCCACCATTCATCTACATATATACACATACCCACAACAAACATTCTCTAAAAAATATTGCTCCTCTGTGTCCCATGCTGGTCCAATGTGGCCGGCTAGGTGATCATTAGGTACTTGTCTTGGGGCAGCCCGTACTTGGCCTTATGCTCCTCAAAGAGCTGGGTCAACTTCTCCAAGTACCTCTCGTGCAGCTCATCAATAGCTTCTCCGGATATCCAAAAATTGTGTAAAGTCAATCCAGCCACGGCGGGACTGTAATTCGTCTTCTTCCATGGGGTGCCAGTGTAGGCCGGCTCCTCCGGCCTGCTCGACAGCCTCCCCAAGGGCCCGTTCCCCAACGCGGTGGGACCCAGCAACAGCGTACAATTGAAGCTGAAGGTGCTAGCCTTGTTGTCACGCTTCCTCTTGTTGTTGGCCGTTACCGCAGCGGCGGCAGTTGCCGCCAAGACAGCGGGCGAAGTCACGCAGGGAGCCCAGGTCACCGGAGAAGGTCCCGCCGCAGAGCCTGAGGAAAACGACGAGGCGGCGGCGATGATAGCGGAGAAGAAGGAAAAGGAAGCCACACACGGGGCAGTGAGGGTTGGCTGAGTGCCAGGCCGGATTGCCCAGGTGGGCGGCTGCGGCGAGGCCTGCTGCCGCAGGGGAGGCTGAACGGAATGGCTGAACGTATGGTGCACACCACCAAGGATGCCCTTAAGAAACTGACTTATGGTGACTGGTATCACAGGTTAGCAGCCTTTCTTCTTGCACAGCACACCACACCTTGCACTGCCACTGGAAAGAGCCTGGCTGAACTTCGTTGGGGTTGCCGGCTCATTACTAAGTTGGACAGACTGCACCCGGACCAGGTGGCATCTCAAGGGTCGCATACACGGCCACCAAGTTGTCTGCAAGTGGGTGCTCCTGTTTGGACCAGAAATTACGGGCCTGGTCACCCGTGGGTATCTGCTGCCATCTGCAATATCTCTGGGTCTCTGTCCTATGAAGTGTCCCTGGAAGACAGCCGCATTCTTCGGCGGCACATAGATCAGCTGCATAAAAGGCTGGAGTCTCACCCTTCCCCTCCTGGCTCTGCTCTGAGGGGAGAGGAAGGTTATAGAATACATTCTGAAGATCAATGTCAGAGTCAGTGCCGGCAGCTGAGGAGATCGTTGATCCCCCATTCTGAGATTCCGCAAGTGCTCCAAACAAGAATTTATGGGGCAGAGAACTACGCTACACACCAAGACGCACTCCAGCCAGGGAGTCACCCCAGGGGCATCCACATATTCCATACAGAAACAGTAACACTCCAGACAAGGAGGATAACTGGGGGTATTCACAGAACTCACAGAACACGCAAGAACTGGCAACCCAGCCAGGAAGCAGGTTCAATTCTGCAACTGCTTCCAAAAGGAGGTCCTATGTAAGGGGCGCAAGCAGAGAGGCCTCTCCTGACTCTGTCACCTCAAGCCTGACCTTGGGGTCCACCAAATACTGGGGCCCCTTACACACACCTTTTTCACAGGGCACATCCGAAAAAGGTCACTGGCTCAAAGACATAGGTTCTCAGGAACCATCCAGAGTAGTTCTGGAATCCTCAGCCAACTCAGAAGGGTGGGAGAGTGCAGCTGTTCTCACAGAGCCTGGGGAAAACTCTGGCATTTTTGCTGGTATGTCCTATCAGGGGTCACCTGCAAAACCTGTGCATAAAAGTCCTGGTCTAGCAAGCCCATCAGACGGGCTGGTAGGCCAGGTGCCATTAAGGTCAAGTCCTGGTCTGTCCAGTTGAGCAGGGGAGCTGTCAGGCCAGGCACCCTCCCTCATCCTGCAAAGGTCTCAACGAGTTAAGCCCCCTCCTAAACACCTAGATGAGTATGTAAGTTTCTTGTCAGCATAAGAACAGTACAAGTCTTGGGTGGGGAGATGGAACCTAAGTGGGTAGTGACAGAACCCGCGAAGCACACATTAGAGAGGCATGGCTGGCTGGGGAATTCTGGGAGTTGAAGTCCACAAGTCTTAAAGTTGCCAAGGTTGGGGACCCCTGATCTAAACCTCCCCTCCCCAGACAGAGAGGCAGATCCTAGATGCCCAAACTGGGACAGGACTTTCAGAGTATGGATTCTTCCCAATCGGGTACCAGATGAGGATGATACATAGTTGTGATATAAACTTTGTCTTCAAAGATTAGCAAGAGTAGGAAGAATGCACATATGTGTGTCTATGCTTGTGTGTATGTGTATGCATTAGGGCAGAAACTATTTCCCTTGGTAGGACTGATATGCTGTATTCCAGATCTTTGAATCATAAAGTTGTCATGATCATAATGTGACAGAATACCTTCAGCTCAACAGCACTGAGTTGAATGTTCAAGGCATGATCATTTCCTTAGCTCTAACATATTATTTTTATAAAATATCTGCAAATATTAGCAGTTGTAGAAACACCTCCTTAAGCATAGTTAGACAAAATATACTTTAATGTTTATACCCTATATATAATTAATGAATTTATATATATATATATTCTGAGGTTTTCGCGGGTGTTTGTATGTAGGTCTTTGGTTGTTCGGGTTTTCTCCCGCGTAAAATTGGAAGTGTCTTGGCGACGTTTCGACGAAGTCCCATTCGTCATCTTCAGGCTGGTGTCTTCAGCTTCGTGCTTCGAGCAGCAATGTGTGGTCTTAGCTGTTTCTTCCTTTTAACTGCCAGTGGGGGTATGAACTGATTGGGTGGGAGCTTGGCTGTGTTCTGATTGGGTGGAGGTGTGTTCTGATTGGTTAGGGGCGTGGCTGTGCTCTGATTGGGGGGGTTGGCTGTGCTCTGATTGGCTGGCTGGGGGGGCTTGGCTGTGCTCTGATTGGCTGGGGGAGTGTTCTGTTTGGTTGTGCTCAGGTTAGTCTGAGTTGCAGAGGGGTTTAAGATTTTGAGCTGCCTTGCTATTTTTTTGGCTTCGCGTTCGTGGTTGTGCCTCCTCTTCATGGAGGGTGTCAGTTTGCTTCATGTTTGGATTGGAGGGGTTTAAAGTGGCTAATGATGCAGCTGTGGTCTGGCTTCTGGTTTGTGGTCGTGCCTCATCATCGGTGTGGCTTTGGGTTTGTTTTTTGCGTTTGGATTAATTTCTGTCAATGTTTTGTCAGAGCTGCTATCTGCAAATAGTTGTGCGTGGCTTTGATATTTATGATTCAGTAACAGCTGCACAATACCCTCATAAACAATTATTTTGCTCTTTTGGACCTGGCAAACTTATAGTGATATAGCATAAACTATAGAAATCACTCAGTGTTAGTTCAAATACAGCCATACCTGCTTGACTATTTTTATACATAACCCAAGATGGTGAATGTTGTGTCCTGGGCCTGATGAGGAAACTCAGCAGGCCCAGAAATTTTGCAAATGGTCCTGGGCAATCTAAAAGCTGCCCGGGACCAGACTGGCTGGCGCCGGACTATTGTGCATGCGCAAGGCACGAAGAAAGAAGGATTCCTATTGGCTGGACTGCCTGGGCATTGGAAAACTATAAAAGGCCTGCATGCCCGTTTTGCAGTTGCTTGGAGTGGAGTTAAGAAACTTGATTATGATGTGTCATGCTTCAATGCCTTGAATCCCGAAATACAAAAGTGAACATACATAATAGTCCTTCCTCTTCCTATTTTCTATACAACAAAAATCCTGTGGTGTAGGTTGGGCTGAGAGACAGGGACTGGCCCAAAGACACTCAGCTGGCTTTGATGCCTAAGGCAAGACTAGATATCCTAGATTCCCAGTTTCTAGCCAAGTACCTTAACCATTAGACCAGTTCAGACTCACTCTTTCTGTGTATTTGCATTAACAGCCAGGTATTTTATTTTCTGTTATAGATGTTGAAAAATGAGGTTTCAGAGCAATCAGTGAGTCCACATGCTACAGCTGGGAGGTTTTGGTAGGGCACGAGGCATTATTAACTGTTTGTTTAAACAGTCTGATATAGAATATACCAATGAAAAGCAAACTATTTTGTCTGAATTATGTATAATTATCATCTTTACAATTATCCATAATTTTCAGGTTCTAGAATATGTATTTTAAGAGTACAGAAAGCTGCCTTATACTAAATTTGACCTTTGATCTAGGTAGCTTGCTTAATCTACATCAGTTCATTTCAATTCCTCAATCTTAGGTCTTTTTCCTCCAGCTTTTCTTGAAGTTCTTAGGGATTGAAACTTAGACCTTCCATATGCAAAGTGTGTGCATAATCATTGCTCTGTAATTTATAATACAGATTCCTGGTATTTCAGTGCATTTGGCACCTAACCAAATTGCAATGGATTTGCTCATATTCACATCAGATCCAAAGAGCCATTGATGCAGCCTCCTTCTCTCTCTCCCCCTCCCCTTCTCTTACATCCAAACTATGACTCCGGAAAATAAATACAAATGCATAAACTGCAGTAGCCAGATCCAGCCTTAGGTTTGGAATAAAGGATGAATTACATAGGAACTACATGCTAGAGGATTTTGAGTTTAGAAAAGCTGGGATAGGGAGTGATTGCTGGTATTGATATTACATCATTATTCTGGCATGATCATATCTAATGGGTTCATGTACTTTGCATCTGCATTGAATATACTGTATTTGTGTATTTTTTTCCTCCTGAAGTATATATTAGAAGAGAGCACAATCTGTTTATCTAAATAGCTATATTTATCCATATAGCATTTTGAACTCCAATAAGAGAAGTTAGATAAAATATAACTTACCATTGTCACATCTTATTTCAACAGGAGAACTCTTACAATGATTTCCTCTTTGGCAAACGTACTTGCCACCTTTATCTTTTTCCAAGGTAATTATAGTGCCATTATCCTTGATACAAGCATCACTTATAGGATTTCCATTCAGGGTCCAGAGAACATTGTCATTGAATTGTCCACCTGTTTCACAGAACAGACTGATTTTTCCACTAGGCAGACAATGAATATGAACAGTTGGAAGCACATCTAAGTGGTAGGATGTCAACAGTCAGAAGGGAGACAAAAATCAATAAGATATGTCAATAATGTTGTGTGAAATATAGAAAATATAATAAAATAAATAAAAACCAGTCTGGTTTAGGGTCCATAGGAAAATATATGAGAACTTTACTCTGGGTAGTTTTACAAATAAGAAACTTATGTACCAACAAAAATTTTACCACATTCATTTTTATATTTAAAAGTTGTACGATTTTCCCCTGACATGTGACATGCCTCCTGATGTGTGGTATATCTCTTTATTCAAAATCACTCAACACCTAATTATTACACTTTTCACAAAACTTATATCAACTTCTTCAGATGGAAAAACAACAATTACATATACTACTTGGTAAATCACCATAGATCTTTTCTGTTCTTTGCTTCCTGAAAAAAAGTAGCTTATAAAAATATTTCTTTTTATACAAGTTATTTAGGGGAAAAATGAAATCTAGAAACATCATAAAATAAATCACTCAATACAATATTTCCAAATATACCATAGTATTTAGTTAAATATGAAATGACACTGCAATGAAGGTATAATACAGATAGTCCCCAGGTTATGAAAATTTGTTCAGTAACCTTCGAAAATTATGACTGCATTGAAGAAATGGTACTTATGACCTGTCCTCAGATTTTCAGCTATCACAGTATCTCTGCAGAGATCACTCACAACTGCAATATTACAGTAAGCTGTGTCTCTGCTGTCTTTTAACAAGGAAATTTAATGGGGAAGCTGGCTGGAAGTCAGATGTTGTGGCTACATGAGGTCCTCATTTAATGACCTGCATGGTCTTTGTATAACAAAATCAACCAGGGCTGCTGCATGGTCCCATACTATTTAGGGATGGCAATTCCAATCCTCATTTCCATTGTAAACTAGCTGTAATTGAACCTCAGTTAGCCAAATGGCAAAATATACAAAATTGAGTTTTTGAAAGACACTTATGCCTAAAATTATATCCATGACATTCTTGAACTGTTCACAGCTCATACACTAACACTGAAGAGAAGGGTAATTAGGTTCTCTCCACACCGAACATTCTCCTAGTCATTGGGTTTCTGCAGCTCTACCGAATTCAGAACAATTCTGCAGAATTTTATTTGATCTGGGATGTAAGCAGTTTCTGGTTGATGAGAACTTCCCATATCATCCTGCCTCACTTGAAGCCAAGGCACTATGGCTCCTAAACACCATTTCATTCATTTTTAAATTAAATGACCAATGTTGCCTCCCAGTGAAAACAAACACAATGAGATACTGAAAAAGATTTGAAGGGAGATGGGGAATGAGAGATATGTGGAAACTAAATTTTATGCCCCGCCTATATTGGTGGAGCACTGAGTGTTGCAAGGAAGGCATTGTTGAGAAAACTGAAGAGTGTGTGATGTTCCTCCTACTTCACCCTGCATCTGTTCTCTGCATCTCTGACTTGTCAGCCAGGCTATTTTTGGACACAAGTTAGCAGGTTTTTTTTTTTTTTTTAAGCAATAGACCCATGTTCAGAAATAGCCTGACTGACAGGTCAAAGACAAGGAGGAAGTATTGTGAGAGGCCCCTGGGTGTTCCTTTCTCCCTCTTTCATGCCTGTGACTGTCAACTGAATTAACAGACATAAAGGTAGAGCATAAGGGAAAAGATAAATAATGAGTAGAGTCTATTCTTGACTGCCAGAGAACGGCAGAGCTGCCAGCAAATGGCCATTCCTGCAGGATTTGGAAATAGCAGGTTAAATTGGCACAAAAGACACACACGCGCCAGCAAAGTAATAAATACAGTAAAAGTATGGCCACAGGAAACACCTTGTCAACAGAACTAATACAAAAACTAAAGCACTCATTCGTGATAGAACCTGGCTGTCTTTCCTGGTTTAAACTGATTTTTGCTCCGTTCAGGTCTAGCACTTTCTCAAAACAGCACTAAAATGCATGTATATAAGAAGCCTGGACAGGCATTACATACTGTAAGTGGATGGTTCAAAAGCCAGATGTCCCAGCTCATCTGTACACAAGGCCAAAATGAGCATAGAAGGCAATGGCCAGCCACTGCACAGAAGGGACTATGACTGAAGCAGCATAAAGTGGCCAAGGGGAGTGGGACAAATTCCCTTAACTCCTCCATCAACCACATGCTCATTGAAGCACACTGGATTGTGTACAGAACAGAAATTGTGCCATGACAGAAGGAAATACACTACTGAGAAACTAAAGATAAATTGAACTGCATCACTATGGGCTCAGGATGAATGAAGGCAATGTTATGAGGAAATGTATATAAATATTTATAAAAGAAATGGATAAAAATATTCTTGACAATATTAGGGAGACATAAGAAATGAACCTCATCATTCAAATGTAATAATCAAAGGTATGGCATGGGCCTTTTAAACAATCATAAGGAAGAACTATGTAAGCAGAAACAGAAGAGATGGTGCTTGAATAAAAAGCCTCTCCTTTTCACAGTTTGTTTCCCAGATGCCTGAGGGATTTTTTTCCAAATATTTCTTTGTCTCGCTTGTCATAGGAATACTTTTGTCAAAAATTCTCTTGTACGGTGTTAGTTTTGTTTAGTAAATAAGATGGGCATATTTATGGGAGCATTCCATTCGATTCCTGTTCGAATAAAAATATGAGCAGAATAAAAATATGAGCAAAAAACATTGAAAAATACAAATGTGTGGTTAGAGAAAGAAGATTGCATTTTGGTGACAACAGAAATTTCATCTTTATAATTTAAATCTTCACTATGTGTGCAACTGTGTATCCAGATTGCACATTCAGTGCTATCCCTATGTTGAAGGAGTTAAGAGTGATGCTTGTTCTGTGCAATTCTAAAAAGTAAATGCTGTTCTGAGAATTCTTCTTCCTTTAAAGTATATTATATCATACTTGAATTAAAGAAAGAAGTGTTATCATTTGTAATAATCCAGGGTTAGACTTGTATATTCACAAAGTTGGAGGAGACATAGTATACTCATAAATATAGCATGAGTAAAGAGTATTTTCATTGTTCCAAATCTGTTGATTTGTGCCAAAAAATATTTATTTATTATTTATTTATTTTAAGTTCTATGCCCTCCATTTCACAGTCAAGTGAAATGTGTAATGACTAAAACATTTTTGTTGCTTGTTAGACAGAAACTAGGATGACAAAACCCCATAATCTTTCTAGGATGAACTATATACTTTTAATTTCAGTCCAAATTATTTTAGGTTCATAGTAAAACCAATAATGTGAAATGTCAGTAATATGCTCCAGTCATTATTTAGTAAGTCTATATGGCATCTGGTAGGTGAACATAAAGATAGTTGAAGTTGTGACTGATGTTCAGAAGACCTACTAATAATATGCCACATGAGGTGATGATGAATGCTAGGTCAATACAAACTATGTTCTCTGTCCTCTAGCCTTTAGTCTCCACTGTATTAAACTCAGATTCAGGTTTGTTTAACTGTAGATCAGGGCTTAAGATTAGATGCTTAACTGAAGTAAACAAGTTTAAGACATCAGTGCATTAGGAATTGCAATGAAGTTCTTAGATTTTGCCATTGTTGACCCCAAAATCAGAATACTTACCACATATACAAAGAAAGGAAGTCTCATTTCCAAGGCACTTTCTTTCCTCATCCTTCAAGCATATTGGTTTGTCACAGGTGTGCACACAATTTTGGTCTCCTTTCACTGGCTGAGCATACTGTGATTCTTGTGGTTCTGAGGAATTATTCTGAGAGGTTAAATTATTGGCAGCACAAACCTTGCCTGTGATAAAAACAAAACGAAACACATTCATCACTGAACTACAATATTCTGGTTTTGAGGATTGTATATGTATCTGGCTTTATAATGGTGAAAACAGAAAAAACCTTGGCACAGAGGTGAGTATATCAATAGACTGTTAGAAAAAGTAGTATTATAACTGAGAATGAAAATGAAATGCACAAAAAAATCTACATCACTAACAGAGAAAAAATAGTGAATATATTAGAAATATTATAATGATTAAAATAATATGATTAAAGAAAACACTTACAGAAAAGGATGCATCAATAACATAATAACATAACATTAATTTAATCCTAACATTTATGTTTAAATCCTATTTGTTTGTTTGTTTGTTTGTATCCCACCTTTATTATGTTTACAAATAACCCAAAGCAACAAACATATCAACACACCTTCCTCTTCTTATTTTCCCAATAACAATACTCTGTGAGGTGGGTTGGACTGAGAGAGACTGGCCCAAATAGCTTTCATGGCTAAGTGGGACTTGAACTTATGGTCCCCTGATTTCTAGCTTGGTACTTTAACCACTAGACCAAATTGGCTCTTATATATCACCATTTTGTCTCATCTGGCCATTTTTAGAACAGAGATTTTTCACTCAAGATCTGATCATCTCACATTCTCACGTTTGGACTACAGCAATGTGCTCTAAGTGGGACTGGCCTTGAAGAGCATTTGTAAGCTACAACTGGTCCAGAGTGCAGAGGTGCAGGCTGTTCTTGGGTGGCCCATGATATACCACTGCTCTGTGACCTGCACTGACTGCCAGTTTGCTTCTGGGTGCAATTTAAAGCAGGGCTTTTCAACCAGTGGTATGGATACCAGCTGTGGTACATTGGCACCTGGCAGGTGGTACGCGACCATCCTAAAAAAATAATGGGGGAGGGGAATGAGCTGAACTGATGGCAGCACTGCACAAGTCTGAGTGAGAGATGGCTGGAGCTGCAGGGCTGTCAAGGCTCAGAGGAAGCGCCAGGATTAGCGCCAGGCTCCAGCTGGAGCTTGGCACTGATCCTGATGCTTCTGCTGAGCCCTGAAGAAGTACCAATCATCTGGAAAGCAGCACTGATCCTGGTGCTTCTGCTGAGCCCAAAAGAAGCGATGATCAGCTGGAATGTTGCAGCATCTTCAGGGTCTTGTGATTTACATTCAGATGCTTGGCAACTGATTCATATTTATGATGGTCACAGTGTCCCAGGGTTATGTGAAGTGACCAAAACCTGCTGCAACCACCCAGCAGATGGGGGGGAATAAAAACCAAACCCCCCTCCTGCTGCCAATCCTCAACAGAAATGTTCACAACAATGAAAACCTCGGACAAGAGGAAGAGCGCCACCGGGTGGACACGCAGGTATCTTGCTCGGCTGTGGCTTGAGAGGGCACTTTTTTCAGTGCCATTGTAACTTCAAACAGTCATTAAGTAAACTGTTGTAAGTCAAGGACTACCTGTACTTTATCACTTTTTTCCTTTTTTTGGGGGGTCATCAAGTTTTTGACACCTTGCTAGGTGACTGGTGGTACTCAGATATTGCCATATCCTAAAAGTGGTACAATGGGTGAAAAGGTTGAAAAGCCCTGATTTAAAGGGTTGGTTATTACTTTTAAAGCCCTGCATCACATTGGTCCAGGTGACTTGAGGAACCATCTCATCTGATGGATCAAGTCCACCCATGCTGACAGAGAGGGGGCATGCTGTGGGCCTGTCAGGGAATTTCAGCTGGTGGGTGCAGGAGAAGAGCCTTCTCTGCCATGGCCCATGCTCTTTGGGACATCTTGGCCCGTGAGGTAAGATTGGCTCCCACCATTCTGACTGTCCATAAGGGTCTGAAGAGCTGCCTCTGCCCATTGTCTTGGGGCCCCAACAGGAGAGTATCACACTGGAGGTGGTTGATGATTTAAGAGAAGATCCCTCCTCTTCTCCTCCCATGCATCCTGCTCACTCCTGCCTTTCCTATAACCCTTTACTCTGGATTGTAATCATATTTTTATTGCTTTTAGAAATATTTATCTTTTATGTTTTTATTGCTTTTAATATTGTAAGCCACCCAGATTCACTTCAAAGTGAGATGGGGAACGAACAAATTTAATAAAATAAATAAAAATGGTACTCAGGCTTGATAGACTCAAGGTTCTTAATGAGATGGCAGACTCCCTGTTTTAGGAATATAGTTCAACATCAAATTGACATTTTGCCATATAATTTGAAACCAAAAGAAGGCTGAAGTTGGGCACAATCAAATTATAAATTAAGAAACATTTCTTACAACATGAATACATACATACAGAAAATCTGGCATCCAACCTTTTTTAAACTTGCTTTGAGAGTTTTGAAAGAGTATTTTCTGGTAAATTGATGTTTATTCATGCCTAGACCTCTTGATTCTCCAAAACTCAAAATCCTCATTTTTCACTTCACAATTCACATAATATATATACACGCACATATACACAAATATTAATGAAATATACACATAATCAATTTTAATCTAATTCTCAAGCAAATGTTGTTAGGTGAGTCATACTCAACACACAATCTGTCAACATCTTTCAATCAACTACTATATTAGCAACCAACTGATTTAAAACATCAATTCTTTAGTTAACCCAAGTATTCCATTAAAACATCTTTCCTGCTGCTTTCAGAGTGGGTTCTACAATCATTCCAAAACAAATAGACATCAAAACTAAAGTCAAATTATATAGTTAAAATCCTGATAGGTTAAGTCTATCAACATCAAAGGATAGTCCCAGATAGCCAAGGATATCCTGAGGGCTTAAGCTTGCTATAAAAACATTTAATTAACTCAACTGTCTTTATATCATACAAATTGGCAGTGGAGAAAAGAAGTATCATTGTGATTCCTAATATAAAAGTTCATAGTCTTATTCTTTTCAGAACAGATTTAAAGTTTCTTCATATTGCTTCTCTCAGTTCACATGTTTACCTCATCAAAATCCAGGGAAACAGGGTTTAACTGTTAGAATATATATATATATTCATCTATATCTATATCTGAAAACTTTAATAAATTACAGCAGATGAATTGACAGATCTAAGATTTAAACAAGAATACTTGCTAATGTACTACTAAAAACAAAACTATAACCTATATATCACTCTTACCTGAGTAAATATTTAAAATTTGAAATATATTATTTGTCTGCTTATTTGTGGAATTAAATAGGCCTTATATTGTCATTTGTACTGAATACAGGTGTATATAATTATATTGTGACTTTAAAAATTAGGAACTGTTTGTTCACAGTTTTACACTAACAGACATAATAAACCAGTGAGAGAAATAACTTCCATTATTTAATAAAAATATAAATAAGAACATAACCAACACATGTACATCTGAATTTGTAATATTCTTTATAATATATAGCCACTGACTCTAGAATCATGAATGAGCATGTAAATAGATCTGGTGTTTCAAATTAAAAAAAAATTCAGTATGATAAAACCTTGAAATCTATTTTCAAAACTACTTACAACTGGCCTAAGTGACTTGGGATGATTTTTTTTTTAGCATATTGAATCAGGACATATTGAGAAAAGAGAAGGAAACCTAAACATTAAGGTGTTTAACTTCCCTTTTTACCCACTGTATTATATGCAAAGCCCTTCAATCAGTTTTATTTTTATTATAAATGCAGTAAGTAAAAGAACATGATAAATATAGTTCATGACAAAAAATAGATTTAATTATCCTTTTTATGCTTTGATGATGATGATGAGATCAAGATTTTGCTGAGATTTGTTGATACCTTTAAAAAAGGGGTAAGGGTCCATACAAAAGCACCATTTCCATTCAGATAGGCATCGTGCTAATTTTATAAAATAAAGTTTGACTTACCACTAATAATGGTCAGGATCATCAACATGCATGGCAGGGAAAATGAAAAACTGAAATCCATTTTAAACATCTTCTTGCACTGTATGCTGAGAAGATCTAGCTTTGCTGTTAAACCAATGTACTACTCAGGATATGATGTCAGAAGCAGTAACAAAAAATGAAATAAAAAAAAAGGAACGAATACTGGAAGGATCCAAGATTAATGTAGAATCAAAATAGAATGGAAGGTTGTTTGGTTGACTGACCTCATGCTATAGCCACATTAGCAAGATGATCTATTTCAATGGCCATATACGCAGGAAGTGGGGTGTGTAGGAGTAAATTCAGAAGATGAGATGAAATAGTAATCTAAGCACGACCATCTTTGCCTACAGGTCAAAGCTAAGAAAAAGAAAACCAAAGCAAATTATGACATTACAACAGTTTCCTGTTTTTAAGTCTTCTTAAATATATGAAGCGAATAATGATGGATTTAAAAAAAAAGTATCATCCAGCTAAAGTCACTAAATGACTAGAAACAGTGAATAAAGCTAGTTGCAAACACTGTGTGCAAAATTCTATTTACTTATCCATATTATACTGCATCTGAGGTCAGCCAATATATTCTAAACATGAAGGAGAACTGATATTTATGTTCCACATCTATAGAAAGGAAGCCAATAGGGAAAGGTTAAAATGCATAAAGTTATTTATAAAGAATATTACTAGTCACAGCTGAAATCTATAGCCTTCCAAATGTGGTTGGTCCCCAGTTCCTTATCATCTCCAGCAAACATAAATCATGACAAAGGAAGATGGCAAATGTCACACATCTGAGGTTTCATATATATATATCCATAAGAAACAATATTTCTTATGAAATATTAAAATTAATCTATTATTGTCTTTTAGCAATCTAACAAACTGAGAACAAAAATAACGACTGGTTTGTAGAGGTAGAACTTGCTTAGCAATAACTTCAGGTAGTGACTGTTTGAGGTTATGTCAGTGATGAAGAAGTAACTTTGTAACTAATGCTTGTTTTTGCAACTTTCACAGCATCTCTCCCTCAGTCACGTGCTCACCATTACAGTCAGTTAGTATGTATTGTATACCTGACTCATTTTTTTTACCTGCAATGCGTAGAGATTGCTTAAACAATCTCAACAATGAGCCACTTCTCCCACATGTATTAATCATAAGATAACAAACTCAGCATTCTGTCCTTAATTAGTTAGCTTGCAGCTGCTGCCTGTAACTGACAGACTTTAAACACTTTCACACCAACAGGTTTCTTTCCCTCCTAAGCAGCTTGGGACTCACAGCCATGAGCATTCTAGGCAAACAGCAGCACTCCTGCATTCCCTTCAATGTATATTCTCTATTGGGTAATTGCTTACTCTCTTGAAATTTCTTTCTCCATAGTGAATGTAAATAAAAACATGAATTCTCTTCTTTTATTATCCCTGTACTGGAGTGAGCATTCCAAAGAGTGGGAGAGTGGGAGAAAAGGAAAGCTGAAATAAAATCGCAGTCATTGGATTTTTCACTTAGCAACCGCATCACTTGATGACCAAGTTACCGGTCTCCCATTGTGGTCATTAAACCAGGATTACCTATAATTGGTCTATGTCAGAACAATTATGTTTATTTTATAACATCTGCTGGGACTGCCAGCATACAGAATATGAATATTCTCTCTTATAGACTGAAACAGAAACATTATTGTAGACAAAATATGAAAAGAGAAAGAATTTTTTACAAAAGTAGTTATCAGGCTAAGTCTAAGATCAAAATGGAACATTCTAGCCAGTGTTCAGTTCTTTATTTGCTTATATATAGTACACGGAATCTTGAAACTCTTACTACTCCCAACTTAGCAATACATCCTAGGAGATTCTAGGACATGGATATCCTTACCCTCTTCCTCTGTCTCCTATCGGAATTCTGTTGCCTCTTGTCTCTCTCTTTCTCTTTTCTGGAATGTGCTCCATCCTTCCGAGGAAACTGCCATTTCACTGTAGTCCATCACTCCAGCTCGCCCTCCGTTGGCACCATCTCTCACGGTAGTTACCTTCAAATTATTGCTAACCTCATGTAAAATCTGAGCATATGTGTGTGTACATTAATGAATTAAGCCAAAGAAGAAATGAAGGATTGGAGCATTAGCATCAGAACATAATTGGTTCCCTTTGTTGTGGATTTGGGATATCATGCTATGGCTTTTTTTCTTTGCTAGATCCTACCTACCTTTTTTATCATGATTGTCACTTTCATGGCAACCAGATAAATCTAATATAGGAAAAATAGCATAGTACAGTAATAGCGGCATTGTCTTTCTAATATTAATACAAACTTAAGTCTTGTTTATATTTCAGCTGTATTAAATATGTAATTTTGACCAACAAAGAAATATAGCATATACATTTGTTGTGCATATAATATTAATGATCTGTATGGTATAAATATGCACCATATTTGCATATATTTTGACCCAATGTACTATATATAATATATGTTCCATTTCCTGGTAAAACTTCTATTTTACAAGACAATTAGGCAGAGTCAAGTTTACAGTTAGCATGTTGGTGGATTCCCCACATAACCCCCAAAATGTCAGACTCTATTGCTAAAAGCAATAGAACTGACTGAAGGTCATGATAACTTAATTTTGTCTCTACTGCTCTCTCTTTTAAAAAAAATCCAGTGATCTAAGATGTGACAAAAATAGCCTTCCGTGAGAAAAGCAGTCATCTGAATCTCCAGACATCTGCAGGCCAGCACAGAGGGGAGAAAAGACATTTGCAATTAGAAAGGTACCCATGGATGCCCTTGTCCTTTGTATTTTGGATTTGCACCAACTCTATGCTAATAGGCTGCTCCTCTTCTCCCATCCTAAATAAAATAGGTAGATGAAGAGAATGGGATCCTGCAATTGTGCCTATATTTGCACAGCAACATCATGAACTATAAAAGAGCCAATCCCATTTTAGCCTGTGTTATTGCACAGCCCAAAATGTGTAGTTATGTTTTGATTTACAATGTCATGTGGACTTAGAAACTGATTAATTAAGTACAACCTGGTTCAACCTTTATAGTATTAAAAGAATATAGATTCTTTCTTCCAAGAATCCTAAAAAAAGTCGCTGAGAGCAAATCATTCTTTATATTTCTTAGAAATAGCAATTATTTTAGGCCATTCTTGCTGGTCTTCTCGTGATATATGTTCTCAGAATAATCAAAGCATAAATGTGAAAATACTGTATATAGGTGATCAAAGAAGGACTCAAGAGAAGACTGCAGTGAGGTTGACTTCATATCTAAAGAAATTTTGGACTATGGAAGAAGCTCCTATCTCTCTTGAGTAGCAATCGCACATAGAAGTAGCATTCTAACCAGCCCTCATCCTTGATAGCTGCCTTCTTAATTTGTTATAATGTCATAGAGTAATGCTACATTACAGACCTTGTTGGAAGTTCATATAGTACCTGGGCTCAAAATTTTAGAATGTAAATTAGTTTTGAAGAGGGAGTTGCATGAAATTGGTGGTGGGCTCTGATACTGTAAGAACAAAACTTAGTTTTGAGCTCCTTCTCTTGATTTCAGGTAAAGATAATAAAAAATAAGGCAGAGGAATCCTCCTGTATTTTCTTAGCATTTTTTTGTTCATTTTTTTGTATGGCAAAAAGAGAAATTACTTCTGATGGAAGATAATTTGCTTTTGATGACAGGAATTGTCTTGGAAGCTTTTTCAAGGGAGAAGAGAATTTCTAGATAATTCTTATGTTAAGTGCAAATGCACTTAACAGGTGGCAAAGGGTATATGAGTATATTGCATGTTCATCTCTTAGTTAGTCTAAAGCAGTGATGGCGAACCTTTTAGAAACCGAGTGCCCAAACTGCAACCCAAAACCCACTTACGCATCGTTGGGTGCCAGGTGGGTGTGGCCCATTGGGTGGGAGTGGCTGCAGTGGTAACAGCAGACTGGGTGGGACTAAAAAGTTCAATCAATCAATTCCAACTTTGCAAGATCTTTTTTTCCTGCGAGAAGTTGAAATTGACTGATTGATTGAACCTTTTCTTTTTTTTGTACATGGCGGCGGAGGCCTAAAGTGAAAAGGTTTTATAAAACCCAGCTGAAGGCCTAGGACTGGGGCGACGGCACGCGTGCCCACATAGAGGGATCTGAGTGCCACCTCTGACACCCGTGCCATACGTTCGCCACCACTGATCTAAAGCCTTCCTAACTTTCTACATATAAATTAATTTCCCAAGACCAACAGAATAATTCTTTCTCCTTTTTCAATAATGGTATTAGCATCATCCTGCAGTGGAATGCTTTTCTTGAGAAATTGTTGGAGAAATGCTACTTTTTTCTCTTTTCTATCCAACAAACTTGGTGAAGAATTTAGAAAAACTATTTAAATGTCAAACAAAAAAAAATAAGATTTTTCTTGAACTAAATATTTAGTATGTAAGGCAAATTCAGTTATATCTAAGATAACGTAGGATTATAGTTAGGTTTTATTCTGTCCCTTCTCATTCAGAACTGAATTTCCAGGTTCCCTAGCACAAGGTAATTTCTTAAAGGCGTGAATGTCTAATGTTGACCTAAACCCACTTATATTCCTATTCATAGCCAATTGCTAATGAAATTCCCATCGGTGTGGCTGCATATCAAAGTTAGTATTTTTCATTTTGCTATTCAAATTGTGTGGTCCTGCTTCCATGCTGTGCTTCATTTCCTATAAGCAAACCCCTCCATTTCAGTTGGTTACTATGCCAGCCATGGTCAAAGCAAAGTAAGGGGCTGAAATTCAGAAAATGATACCTTAAGATAGCATTATTTCCAGCCATTTTATGCACTGTAGTCAGGCAGCTGAAAACTGAAATATGGAAAAGACTTTGTTGTATAATCTTTACCCATTGGCAGATTCTGGCTTTTACATTCACTTTCCCTGATTCTATACATCCATTTCATTAAAAGTCATGTGTGAAATATCTATAAGCACTATTGAATAAATGTGAAGAACAATTACTGTTTTATTTCTACAAATACAGAAACCATTATTACAACAGATTGGATGTGCTGCAAATCTTGTCAGCCAAAATGTGTCAACCAGGGGAAACTAAAAGATGGGCTTTTTCTTGTAGCCCCTGCCTTACAGAATACTCTCCTGAGATTAGAATGACCTCAGCCCTATTGACTTTTTACGAAGTTTTAAAAACTTGGCTATGTACCTGGGCCTGGGATTTGGAATATGCTAAGGGCCCCATTACTTGGTTTTACTGTTAGTTGATTAAGCATCACCGCTGCTGTTTATACTTATTTATTTTGTAGGTG